GTTTTACAATCAAATCTGTTCATGTTAATTTTCTGATTTGCATAATTAGTTTTCAGCTAAGTAATTTCAAATTATATTTAATGTGTCTCCAATACTCTCAGCACATGGGAGTTCTTTCTAAGCTTTCTTTGATTTTTGCATAAATTCATAATTTTTGAAACAGGAAAAAGCAAATATTTCCTTTCTGGTGCACACAAGTTTAGGATTTGTTGAAATATTTTCACCATGGTACCGTCACCAAATGGTTGCCATTGGTTACAGCCATCATTAAATATTTTCATCTTTGAGAGTAACCAAAGTTTGTCTTTTTCAATTTCAATAATTTCAATTCACTTATTGTACAGATCGTACTTCAACCACATTTTCTTTTTACTCCAAAACACATTGAACACTGCAGGAACACTTCACTCAATTTTTCTCATTACAAGCAAAATAATTAGTCCATTGTGAAAGACGTATTGCTTTGTTAGATTTTTCTATACTTTGATGCTTCGTAGGAAATGAAACGCCCCGACTGATAGTTTTGATACTATAGTATGTTACGTGAACGCATGACGCATACAAAAACACAATGAGAATTGCATATTGTGAACGATCATTGCAGAAATGCTGAGAGGAATACTTGTCAGCCAAAAGAGACTACCTCAGTGTCTCCTTAATGTATCATTCCAGTTCCCTCAGGCACAAAAAAACAGCAAGCGCTGTCAGATAGCATTCGTACACTTTTCAATGTGATGTTAGTCTGGGATCGTGAGTTTGATTAACAAAAATGAAGTAGCAAAGACAATTCATAAGTTTGATTAACAAGAACAATACACATACGGACATTTTTTTTCTTTACATAAAAACAAAAACACCCTACAGACGTCACAATCACAGTACACAAAAATGAAATAAAACAACACATATTGTTACTTGAACATAAAAAGTCATCCAAACAAGCGTGCATTGCTAATACAGAACATGCTATAAAGAGAAGAGAGCAAAGTTGTGATTACCTTCAAGCACTCTATCAAGGAATCCTGCATTTTTTTTTTTTAGAAAGCAGCCATATTGAAGCAAGGATGGAGTTGGTAAAACGTTGTTAGTTTCTTTCATACTCGTACATGATGCATTATATCCAGGTGAAAATTCATGCATTTTTTTTTAATGGAGTCTCGCAGATTAAATTTAATGTTCAAAAAATAAGGAAAGGAAAACTATACAATAATCTATGACCACACTATGGTAATATACCATGCAGTGAGTTAATGATAGAGAATTTTAGTTTGCATGGAATTTATTAATGCACATATTTTAACATTAATTGCATGAAATTGTGCTTTTTACTGATTTGAAATGTAGAAAATCACTGCTGTATTTTTTTTACAAAAATTTCAAAACGATGAGTATTATAATACAAATTTTTTTAAAACAATAGTCCTAATATAAATTCCTATTACCAACTTCACTTATCTGATGTATTTGCTATGTATACGCAATGGTCTGAGTATTAATTTTTTCCAGTGAGAAGTAGCAAACATACATTGCCATAGTGATTATGTTGCGTTGACATGTTTTGACATAGTATGTATTTATGCTTAACATCACAGTACACAGATAAAGCCGTTTGTGTTGAATGCCGAATAATCTTTAACATAAAATGTCTTCTGCAAAATAACCATTCATCATATGCAAAAATAACATACCAGACTTTGACTTAAAACTTTCAACAATTGAATTTGTCTTTATTTGTGAGCAACTTGCTAAGTGACATCAGCGATTTGTGCAGCGACCAATTTGTTGCAAAACCACAAATTTGCAGTAACAATACTCATTTGTCCAGTGATATCACTCATTTGTCTAGAACCATCAATTTCAGCAATGACATCACAAATTTGTAAAGTGACATCACAAATTTGCAAAGTGACATCACAAATTTGCAAAGTGACATCACAAATTTGCAAAGTGACATCACAAATTTGCAATATGACTTCCCAAATTTGCAAGGTGATATCACATACTTGCAAGATGACTTCCCAAATTTGCAATATGACATCACAAATTTGCAAGGTGACATCACAAATTTGCAAGGTGACATCACAAATTTGCAAGGTGACATCACAAATTCAGTCACATCACTAATTTGTGCAGAAAAATTGTATCATCTGAGCAACATTTTTTTAAAATTCTCAAAGTTGCTCAGAGTTACATTTTCATTACAAGGAAATATCTTTTTATTTTGTTTTAGAAAAAGAAAAAGTTTTTACCTGCAAATGGATCAGCACCATCTGGTCTGAGAATCTCTACTTCACTGCTACTATCCGTAGACACAGACATAGCATCACTAGATTTATCAGAAAATCCACTTGATGCTTCAGCGATCACCTCTGCTGACTCAATAATGACCAATTCTTTTTTCTCATCTGATCTACTTGTAACCATGGATACCTCTGTCCCCTCAGAGATTGTGGACAAGTGTGGATTGCTCACTTGCCCATCGTTAGTTGATGAAATTGTTGATGTAACTGTGGAAACAGGATCAAAAATAGCCTCTGCCTCAGAATCTGAGGCAGTTGAAGTTGCGTCTGAAGATTCGGTGATATCTGTAGCAGTTGAGTTCCTGGGTGAATCAGCCTCGGAACTCATTCCAGGAAGCAACTAGAAACAGGAGTGAAAATTAAAATTAGACTGAACATCAGCTATTGTGGCAGAATTGTATTATCATGACGAAGGACAGAACAACTCCATTATTAAATTTACTTGTAATTTCTTTCTCAATTTACTGCTAGAATACAACAGATGTGTCATTCTAAAACACTCTTCATAAGCACAATTTCGGTTGTAGCAAAATATCAATAACTACACAATCAGAACACATGAGGAATGCAACTAGATTATTTATCTTTCAATCAATTTGCAAGACACTGTTTAAAGATTAATTATTTGCAAGTTTTAATTTTACTATTTATTGTCGAAAAGTGAAATCCACTATAAATTTATAAATCATATGAACATGTAAAATTAAAATAGAACTTATTGTTTCCTTGCCAAATCTGTGAATTTTAAAACCAAATGAAAATGGTAGCATTTACAGTGTTATAAATGTTATAAATTTCTCAAATGAACAGTTCAACAGTTTTACAAGTAAATCTTATTTTATGCAGGGCCAAGGAATTATTCCTGGCAGTATACAACTAAATAATTTCATTAGAAAATGTAACCTGAAGATGTTTGTATTATAAAGTCTTCTAGTCGCATACATGGTGCAATCATGTCATGGTGACTACGACTACAATTATTTAGAAAAGGTGTGGAGATTCAGTTGTCAATTTATTACATTTTCTTCATTGTTGAACCCATCATATGTTGATTATAGTTAATATTGTGGCAATTCACAATAGTTTATGTCACAAATTGCAAATTTAAAATAATATCAAATACTAGAAATCACTATTAAAATATGTCTTTATTGTTTGAACAATTTATCAAGGCTTGGCATGCGTTAGTATCATGCATGACGTGAACCGATTTTAATTGATCCTACAATTTGAAAACGATAGAAAAGGAGCGTCAATTTTTGATTGTTTGCTGCATTCCTTCAAACGTTTAACAAGCTCCAAAGTTTTTTCTCTCTCTTTTCTCTTTTTTTGTACAGTATGACACCGATTCATCAGTCTGTTTGAAAACATTACATTTCTCACACTTTACAGGAGAATCTAAAGCTATATATCGTTGAAAGACAACCTGGTATAAAGTTGATGACAAATACAAATCAATATGTCTGGTTCGAAAAGCTGATGTATATAGCAGCATATTTGTGAAAAATTGAAAGCAGAGCAATCCCTCTTTGTACATGAAATCAGCAGGTGCATGGTTGCCTAGCAACTAGAGCATGCAAAACTTGTCTAGTACAACAAAGTACAAATAAAAAAAGAAATTAAAAAAAAAAATCATCATAAATTTGTACTTACTGCAAGTTTTTTTTTTTTTTGCCCCCCCCCCAACCGATTATTAAAGTTAAATATACTTAGAAGTCATTTTATTAAGTGAAACAAGACAGAGATAAAAGACACCTTATATTATTAATTTAAGGGATTGACTGTTAAAAGTACTGGTGACAATTACAACAGAAGCAAACAGAAATGAACATGTACAAAAGAGGTGTCACATTAATATTGAGAATATAGAAATGATAAAAACATCAATCCTAACAACCTCATGCACATAATAGGGTTTTATAGCAGAATTCAAAATAGTATTACATTACACACTTGTCCTGTTGATATTCCTCGAATGTATTTAGGTACTGTAAAATACTTTATTTTTGCTTGGAATTAATTTTCGCTATTCATTGAAAAATAAAATCCAGCGAATATATATATTTTTTCTATAATATACATTCAACTCGTCAAAAATC